TTATGTTACGAATTACTACTAATGATTGTCTTTCCTTCTTCTATTATCACTTTCCCTGGAAGCAATGGGTTTGCTTCAGCTTGGGTGCCACGACGCGTGTGCTACTTAACCACTGCCATTTTCCACTATAGTATATCCTTTTGCTTTCAGAAATCGTCAATGAAATGAAATAATTAATCCTTGATTTAAAAAAAAAAAAAATTAAATTATATCATTATCTGTCTGTTTGAAGAAGAAAATTAGTTGCAGTTTCTCCACCCTCCCTTCTTCACTCTACTGATTAAGGATACCTCATAAGCTATTAAGTTTATAAACGGTGTTTTAAAGTTTGGATTAATCTAAATTATAAAATATTAATTATTTGATATAAGTTAAATTTTTTAACATTAAATATTTTAATATTTATTTTATAATTCAGATTATAAAATAAAATTATCTTAAGTTTAACTCTTGAATTTGTTGAAATTTTCAAGTATTTATTTATTTAGATTTTTTTCAAGTCTTTTTTTAAATCCAATTTATCCCTCGACTTAAACCGCACTCGTAATATAATCGTAATAAATCCAATTAATTAATTTATAATACTCGAATATGGACTTAACCCCTTCTGGTTCTACTGCGGGTACGGGCTTTAAAATCCATGGTTTGGATAGTCAATGTATGGGCCATAGCAGGGCCCAATTATGAGAGCAGATGGGTTTGGACTTTGGAGCCAGTCGGTGGCTTTAGCACCACTCCACTGACACCGTAAGTTCCCATTCCATGGCTGTCCTTCCTCTCCTCTATGAGTATCAGACAGCTCATCTTCCTGGACCTGCTGCTGCGCCTTCTCTTTGAATTCTACTGATGAAATGAGGGCTCATCACAGTAGTAATAAGAAACTGACGCTTCTGCATCTCGTCTGCGCTGCTTCCTTCTTCTCTTTCCTAATTTTCACCCTTCAATCTTCCTTCTTCACAGGTTTGGTTTGGTTTGGTTTCTTTACCATCTCAATTTGGGGCGTTGGATCTGAATGAATTAGTTACATCATTCACGTTGCATTTTTGTTTTTCCCTTTTTCAGGTGTCGGCAGTCGAAACTCAGATCTCAACAGAGAACAAGTCCAGATTTTATCCGAATTCCAGTCCACCGTTCAACAATGCGTGGTTAGCCTAAATTCTCTCTATTTGGATATCATTCCTGTGTAAAGCTTTCAATTTGCAATTCGCAATTCCATTTCTATTGTTGTAGGCAAACAGGGGACTTGGACTTACCGCTCATATCATCAATCACTGCAATGTTACTCTTAAGTTCCCTAATGGCACTAACAGCACCTGGGTCTGATTCTTACTCTGGAACTGCTCTTTTTTCTCTCTCTCTCTCTGTAATTCTACTGCGTGCTGATTGTCATTGTTATTATTTTGTATAGTATAATGAGCAGTTTAAGATTTTTGAACCATTGGAGTACAACTATGATGTCTGTGATGCCCTCCTGTTGTGGGAACAGGTTAGTATGGTATGGATTTCTTTCTATTACTTATTTATTGATTGAAGAGACTGCTTGCCATTATGTCTTTATGAATGCAGTACCGTAACATGACTACAGTTCTGACGAGAGAGTATCTGGATTCTCGCCCAGATGGGTGGTTGGATTATGCAGCAAAAAGGATAGCACAGCTGTATGATCTGCGTTTCAATTTCACTACTTTACTTTGCTTCTTTACCAATATGGTTAAAGTGGTTACGTCTTCAACTCTTTTATTTGTCTCTTACAGGGGAGCTAAAAAGTGCTACAATCGGACACTCTGTGAGGAACATCTTAATTTGATTCTACCTGCGAAGCCTCCTTTCCATCCACGCCAGTTCCGTAACTGTGCTGTTGTTGGCAACTCGGGTGACCTCTTAAAGACACAGTTTGGGAAAGAGATTGATAGTCATGATGCTGTTATAAGAGACAATGAGGCTCCTGTGAATGAGGTAAACTTGCAATTCCACTATCATATCTATATATTTTTATTTCATCTTTCAATTCCTTGCAGTTGAATAGTTTATGAGAATGCTTCTATTCTTGTTTCACATACTTTATAGAAATATGCCAAGTATGTTGGTCTGAAGAGGGATTTCCGCCTTGTAGTGCGTGGTGCTGCTCGAAACATGGTTAAGATTCTAAGTGGATCTGGTACATTTCCATCTTTGTTATGGCAATTCTTGAAAATATGTTCTTCATATGTTTGTATTTTCATTTTTATTTTAAGAAAAAGGAACTTCCCTCTTTATCATGCATTTAGTTGGAGAGTATGATTATTTTTTTCCTATTATACTGTTGATAAATCCCCTATATTCTGTCACATCCGTGATCTATAGCAATCTCTTTCCATGCCATTCTGTTTTTTCAATCTCAGATGGGAAAATCAAGTCTAAACTAGCTAATGTAAATGGAAATTGAAATTTACTAGCTCTCTTTCTTTATGTCTTTATACTTTTTGACATTATGCAGAAATTCTAGTACTTAGAATTCTTTCACCTTGCAGATGATGAGGTACTCATAATCAAAAGTGTGATACACAAAGACTTTAATGAAATGATAAAGGTGAGGATTACATGTACGAGAAATCAAAATATCTTGGCTTCAATGATAGCATCTCCTTGACTGCTTCCATTTCTTTAAAGTGAAGAATCCTCTCCATTTGATCTTACTATGATAACTGAGGCTTTCCTCAGAGCCATGGTTATTGCATTTTATCTGATTTTTTCTTTCTTCTTTCCTTTTTTTTTTTTTTCTAATTTGGGCAGAGTATTCCAAATCCTGTTTATCTCTTTCAAGGAATTGTGCTACGCAGAGGTGCAAAAGGAACTGGAATGAAATCTATAGAACTAGCACTTTCAATGTGTGACATTGTTGATATATATGGTTTCACTGTTGATCCTGGTTACACTGAATGGTGAGGTCTTTTGTTCTGAATCCAACGATCTTGATTTTGAATTTGATCTGTATTAATAATTTTTAAGAATTTGGGAATTTGGAATGTCTTAAATACACTATCGTAAAAGAATATGGTCTTCATGAGCATGTGATGTTACTTTTCCATCAATTTCTTGCTGATTGTTTCTGCTCTTACAGGACACGTTACTTCTCTACACCTCGGAAGGGGCACAATCCTCTTCAAGGAAGAGCATACTACCAACTCCTGGAGTGCCTTGGTGTATGATATTTTTTTACACATGCTATGTTACTACATAACAAGGTTATGGCCATAAGCTGCAAAGCATAATTTTTTACTAATTTAATAGTATGCTTTATGCTTTTCAGGTTATTAGGATTCATTCTCCAATGAGAGCCCAAAGGAAGCAAGACTGGTCAGACGTGCCAAGTAGAGAAATGATAAGTAGGGCTCATGCTGCTGCTTTGCGATTGAAGAGGGGTGAAACTGCTGCAGATTTGGGGCAGTTTGGCAGTTGCAAAGTGTGGGGTGATGTTGACTCTGATAGTAGTGGGCCAATTTCTGGATCTTCAGACATGAGTGACGTTAGGAAGAAGTCAAATTACAACAAATGGGAAACCATGCCCTTTGAGAGTCTAAGGAAGGAAGCACAGGATTTCTACAAACAAATGGAAGGTGTTTCTCTATACAAAATGGATGGCAACAGGTTGGATGATCTGGTGTGTGTCAGGCATTCCCCTAAATCTGAGGTATAGTGTGTTGGTGTAACACATCTGTGTTCTTCTAAACACTTTGACTGGGAGAAAATCGTGTGTGGTATCTGCCATCACTTTGTTATGGTGTTCTCATTGAGCTGACGATTTTCAGCAAGGCATTCATTAAAATTACTTGGTTTGGCTCTTGTTCTCACTTTAACAAAGCATGAAGAGTACTGGCCAGTCCCCCCAACATGTATCCTGGGCAGCGAATTTGTGATTACTTATTCTTGTTTTATAGAAGGGATTATTGGGAGAGGATTACTTGATACAGAAAATGTGATTATAGTGTTTTTTGTTCTGCTCTGACTTCTGGGTTTAGGTGTTTGATTATATAAACGGATGGGAAGGGCATTCCTAACATCTGAAGAAAGCATTTCTTGAACTGAAGTGGTGCAGCTGGAGGGTATTGCCGATTGGTAATGTGACTACAGAATATATTTTGTGATCTCCTCCTACTCTGTCGTCATTTTCTTAGTAACTTAGGAAGTATTTATTCAATTTTTCAAGTACATCTTAAACTCATTGTTGTTTATCATTGATTTTGTCATAATATTACTGCTCATTTTTTTGGTACATCTGATGATTCGGTTATATAAAAAGGGATAGTCTTCTCCTATTCTCAAATCTCTTCTCACCTAACTCAAGGTTTGAATTTAAGATTTCTAATTTTGAGTCTCAAGCTTTTAACCATTAAGTCCCCCAATCGGGTTATATTACTGCTCATAAGTACTTTGTTTATTACCCACATATTTGATGGTATGGTGGGTCCGTCCAGTTACTCTTTTCTCTTTTTATTTCTTCTTCTTTTTTTGGAGTCATTATACTATTCTTCGATAGCAAATTCTCAAAAGATATTCACAGGTCGTCACCATCTAAGATTAATAGAAATATCTGAGACGGAAATACTAAAGAAATTAGCTGCTTTCTGATTTCTAATTCTACCCCTGATGGTGGCAGTTATATTCACTGCAGAGCACAACAGCAACAAAGGTCCATACAAAATGGCCAATATAAGATAAGATATTTTGAAGATGATTTTAAGGAAATATCTCCAAGGTGATTGGATGTTGGATGGTAACCCCTCAGAGTTTCTCTTCCACTTAAAAAGAAAAGGTAACCCTATCCAAAACAAACATCTAAGTAAAACTCCAATCTTATAAATTCAGCTGCTGTATGCAAGAAAGAAGTATTAGATCATACCAGACAAACAGACATAAAGAGCACCAAAAATGCAGGCAGCCATTTGCATTGCACCAACCATTCTCCCATTAACCCCATCCACATCCAAAACCCAACCATCTCCAAAACCAAAGCTAAAGGTAGGCCACCTTGGCTCATCGTCCCGCAGTTTCTCCGTCAAAGCATCCACTGCTACCTATGAGGCTTCCACGGTTGATTACAGCTCCACGATCTCGTAAGTGAAGTGATAACAATTAATATATATGGTTGCTTCAGTACAACTTGAGTAGTGGGTTAGACTTAATTTACATACATAATAATAAAACTCATGATGAAATTAATCCTTTTCTTTTTACAGTGTTTTCCCAGCGGAAGCATGTGACACAATTGGGGGAGAAGCCTGCTTGGCACAAATGTATCCTGAAGTAAGGCTGGAGGAGTCAAACAACTCTAGCAGGAGCCAGAGGAATAATAATATTGATGCTGAACCATATGACAGAGAATATATAGAGTACAATGATGCAAAAACGTACGTATGTTGTGTGTCTAACAAATCACATACTCCTACCTACTTAATTTCTACTAAATAGTAGTAGTATTAATTTAATCAAATCCTTACATTCACTAACAAGTAAAGCATATATACATGTTATGTTCCACAGGGTTTTAAAAGGAGAGGCCTGTGATATTCTGGGTGGAGAATTCTGTGGGCGTCAGTATCAGAGGGGAGTCTACTAGGACGAGGACTATGATCAATTCTCCTTTATATATAGACCTACTTAAATTGCTTTTGTAATTTAGCTCGATTCCCTGATGGATGAATATACACCATATATATATGTTTAACAGAAAGCCCTTATCTGTCTCAAAAGCTTCTCAATAATTACTTTTCCACATGCTTAATTATGCAAAATCACTGTTCGATTAATTAATTAAAATATAACAAGGGAATTTAACCCTGTACTTCCTTTTCCCTGCTGAATTAATAAAAAAAAATCAATTCTGAATGTTTAATGACTTTACTACTAAATTACCCACATTTTTTTTTTTACAAGGTAATAGTTAGAAAGTTAGTTTGAATTAATTGTTAACAACTGAGGATTCGATCTCAGATCGGGTGAATATTCCACCCCATCAAATGAGACGCACAGCCATTGAATCGCTTTTTGATGGAGTTCACGATGATAGAGCTCGAAACTTTGACCATTTCACCCAGGCACTTAAGCTTTGGGGTTAAACCATTGGGCCAAAAGGCCCGGTTCAATTACCCACATAATTTAATTGCTTTGATCAAATAACATCAACAAAAAGGTATTTTTTTAGCTAGAGACTAAATATTTAGTGGTAATTTTTTTTAATAAAAGTAAAAAATTTTAAATTTAAGTAGTATAACATAAATGAATTGAGGGATAGAAAATATTGTCTATCACTATACAATTTAATATATAAAAAAAGTAATTATTATGGATATGTAAAAAACATATTAATATTAATTAATTAGGAGTACCATCCATAAAACAAAAAAAAAAAAAAAAATACCAGTAAAAATTTTAGTTCATAAAACACTCTTGATCAGAAAAATACAACCCTGTGTAGGATTGTTGGGCCTCCAATTGGCAGGACTAAGCTCATTAAGGAACATTGGGCTGAACAAAAGTAATAACACCAGAATGGGCCCATGCCCATTAGCGCATTAGTAGGACTACCCATGGCCCATGGGGCATTGCTCCCACAACTGTAAGCTACAATTACACTTGGTAATTTTTTATCTAACCGTTAACTTACTCACCCGTTTAAAATGAGTTAAGATTAGATATTTTATGATTCGTGATCTGTTAATGATCTATTAAAAGAATCAGATGAGTCACGGGTCAATAATAAGTTGATCTATCGGATTAACATGTTTAACCCGTTTACCTATTTAAAAACTTAAAAAATTTTAATTTATTATTTATTTATTCTATTTTCTAATTCTCAATTCTACCTAAACCTCTAATAATTGACTAATTTTCTCCAATTAGCTAATTGATTCTCTTAGCAAAAATAGGTATGTGGTGTTAGTATTGTTCTTTAAAGGAAAGTGGAGAAACTAATTATGAGGAATTATAAATATATTTGATTAAATTAATAAAAAAATATTTTTATAAAATGTTAAATTTATTTTTAAATCTTTTGAATAATTTTTTTATGATAATAGGTATAAATTATAAAAAAATAATAATTGAGTCAACTCACAAGTTGACTCATTATGAACGAATTAAAATTAGTTTTCATCGACATGATCTATTTTAACCCATCACATTTTGACTTGTGATCGTTCTGACCCGATCCAAACCCAACCCAACCCGATCCATCCGTTGCCAAGTCTAGCTGCAACATTCTACAAGTAGGTCCAGTACAGAATTACATTGGGCTGCCTTGTACTTGAAACAAACAATGCCCCCTTGGCGCTCCACCCTCCCATGAAACCCTACAGAATAACTAATGCAGTACTCAAAAGCGTTGCTTCAGCTTCGCTCGCAGCCTCTAAACCTC